AACAATAGAGATAGAATGAAGCAGAATGATGAAAAAGGGGTCCCTATGTCCTCCAGCAGTCTGAGCCTATAGCAGCAGAACAATAGAGATAGAATGAAGCAGAATGATGAAAAAGGGGTCCCTATGTCCTCCAGCAGTCTGAGCCTATAGCAGCAGAGCAATAGAGATAGAATGAAGCAGAATGATGAAAAAGGGGTCCCTATGTCCTCCAGCAGTCTAAGCCTATAGCAGCAGAACTATAGAGATAGAATGAAGCAGAGAGAGCAGGGACAGCTCCGTGTCCCCACGTCTTCATTAATGGACAGTGTCTCACCAGAGACGACCGTCCAGGAGTTAGAATCTGAGTGAAAAAGTATTTTCTAGGTTTTGCTCCTATTATATCTTCCTAAAAGGAACCGTTACTGATCTAGATCAGCAATCTAGGCTTGAATGTTTTTGCTCTATGTTCAGTTTAATGATTAATATTCTCCTAATATCTGTTACTGCATCGGTTTAAGAGACATAAAGAGAAGAGGTTTTTATTTTTTAAAGGGAAGAAGTCAAATATAATTTTTCTGCAGTAAACGCATTCTAAGGATGATGATGTCATATTTTGGTCCAATCAGTGGAGAGATGAAGCTGAGATTAGCCATGATAATCCCAGGTCAGCAGGAGTCGCCGTCCTCCTAAATAAAGGTCCGATAGTTTCCCATCTAGCAGATGATCTGCTCACTGGATCGTTCTCATTATTAACACTGATGCTCTAAGATTCACATGAGTCAACATTTATGGATCCAGCATCCTACCTGGGTTACAGTTAGATAATCTCAGATTAACACTCAGCTGATGACGTCAGAATTGATGTTGATCTAAACCGAGTTCACGATGATTTTGTAGATAAATATCCTGGTAGATTCTCACCCAAACATCACATTCACAAACTTTTACAACAAACATCATTTGGTCGATCCTGAGACATTTAGATCCAGGATTATTTAAATATTCCTGGTTTAACTAGAATCATAACTTTAAATCCAGAACTGATCACTGGCTGATTGCTGATCATTTACTGTTATATAACATTAGTTCTATGTCTGACTGCAGGTCAATGTCCGCTCACACAGACTGGAAGTTAAACTCTGCTTAAAACAACGACTACAGCCTGAAAATCTGATCATTAATTACAGAAACATCAGAGGAACTAACCAACAAGTGGGAATATTTAAAATATAAAATATTCCTCTTTACCATTTCATTCAGAAAAATGATTAAAAAAGATATAGAAAACAAGAAGTAGACATTATTAATCAGTTAAATATTTACTGGAACAGGACTAACCCGACTGAAGACGAGTCTAAACCTCCACCCTAAACCAGATTAAATGTAAAACCCTGAGGGGCCTCCATCAGATCCAGAGCTCAGCGGACGGAGGAGGGAAACATTCAGAGGAAATAGCATCAGATCCTTGATGATTAATGAGAATGAAGTCACACATTAAAATTGATCTGTACAGAGATCTATACATTCTATAGCCAGCTCTATAGCTCTACGTTCTCTCACATGGACTGGGAACTTTTTTTTCTTGGAATAATCAAACATATTCATATAGTGAAGGACGGCCTGAAACAAACGTGATAATCAATTATAGAAGTTGATGCAGTGATCGGTCGTCTCTCTTAACGAAGCCCCGGATCCGATGGTCTCACTGCAGACTTTACAGACACTTCTGCACAGATTTAAAAGACCTGCTGCTAAAAGTTTACTGAAATGTTTCAAACCTGTGGCTTCCAGCAACAATGAGAGATGAGGTCATCGTCTCAGTTCCACAACCTGGGAAAGATCCCAGAATCCCAGATAACAGAAGAGCCACTAAACTCAGACTAGAAGCTTCTAACTTCCATCTTTAAATCTCGTCTCCAAACAGGGAGTCCAGGTCTGACTGCAGAGACACAGTCAGGATTCTTAAAGGGACGATCAATCTATATTAGATTGGTAATGGACATCATAGATGATGGTTTCCTTCTATTTCTAGACTTCTACAAAGTGTGTGACTCTGTGGAGCATCTATTATTCTTTCTACTCTCAAACACTTTGGATGTTTAGAGGATTTATCAGTGGACTGAGTGGAGAGATTAGCAGCCCCCCCCCCCCCCCCCCCTCCTCAGGGCTGCCTCATCTTAGCAATGCTAGCCCAGTCTTAAGCACTCCCCCACAAACTAAACGTTCTAGTACCAGACATAATAATCAGCCAACTAGCAGATGATATTCCTGAAAGATAAACACCAGATTTCAATAACTATTGTTAAAATGGATAAATTCTCCACAGCCTCGGGTCTAACGTTAAACGTTAAACATGATCATTGCTGTCTGAACATGAGACGCCACTGAAAGGCTTCTGTAACATCCTTTTTAAATATCTGGGGATCCACCCATCCACAGACCAACTTCTGAATGGAGAAAATAAACGACTAAACTTCAGGCTACAGAGGGATTAATCAACACTAGAACGGATCTAAGATGAATCCTTATCTAGATCTATCTAACATTAATCCTTATCTAGATCTATCTACCCGCCTCTTCCAATGCCGTCCCAAACAGATGAATTCAATCTATTAACCAAATCAACCTAAACTCCATTTGGAGAAACAGACGCCTTTATATGAGGAAAAGTTTGGTTAAAGATGCAAAGATGGAGGATTCAAAGTTATTGATTTTTCTGTCTAAATGGGAGCATAAAAAATAAACTGGTTAAAATCTTGGATCAAACTCAGCGACTCTTTTTGGTTTCTATTCCAAGGAACCGGTTCAAGAAAACTGGAGGATTGGATTTTATTCTGAGAGGAAACTTTAATAAAGACAAACTGCCAATAACAGAGTTTAACAAACGAATCCTCCTGAACTGGAAAATGTTCTCTGTGCAGAACTCCTCTCCTGTTCTCTGATAAAACCGATATAATCTGCAGCGCATCTGGAATGGGAGGAATATATACGGTGCATAGCAGGTTTGATGGATGCCAACACAGCTTTAATAACTATGAACAGTTTGGATTTAAACATCATTTCCAACCTTTACAGGCAGACTTTAATAAATAACACTGACCACTACCCCAACATTTTTTATTTTAACATAAAATACTTTAGCATTTCATCCAATAAACCCACAATCAGCTGCTCTGTCAATTTAAGGAATTAATATTATGGATAGAAAATACACTAAACAGTTTATCAGAAACTGTTTTAATGAATAGCTTTACTCTGAAAACCAAATAAAAATAACATCCTACATAAATCTGATAAAAGCTGAATAATTAAACTAAGAACAATGCATCTAACACTCCCTATAGCCCCATAGGTGAAAGAAACACACTTTAAAATAATGAAGAACATTTACGCCTCTAAAGAATTACTCTAGACTTTGCTTCAGTATAGATGATAACACCTTTACGTTCTGTGAAAATGACGTGGGAACTATGAACCATGTGTT